CTGACGTATTGTCCAAATTACGCTACGCTAATTCTCCAGCAAACGAATGTTATAATTTAATTGACACTAATGAGATTTAACGTCACTATAATAATATAGACACCTTGTTGCTTAGTCATTTAATTGAAAAAAAGAATCCAATTAAACAACTTATAAAGCGATTCGAAACGGAAATTCTTAAGCCGAAGCCGACAAACGCACACATAATTCACATGGGCACTTCAGTTCTGTATTGTTCTATGCAAGCAATGCTAACTGTCGTGGCTTTGTCGCTTGAAGAGGGATATGCAAATTGTCATTTTCTAGCGAACATTCAACCCCGATTCTCATCCATTCTGAGTTAATATGGTTAAACATTTTAGAAACAATTCAGTTTGGACTGCACTACCTCGTTGATTTATCTGTGGTGACGTACACACGTCGATGAGCGTAAAACAACTACACGAATCATGCTGGCGATAAAGATAATGACGCATTGTTGTAATCTGGTCACCCACCAATATTACTCTAATGTACACGATTGCTGTAAATTGCGATAAATGTTGCAAACAAATCAGAGTGGGGATTATTGATTTGACTACTAGTAGGCTAGAAATCTCAGTCACTTACATTTCTGTGACGAACCAATTGTCTTCATTAGCTGAAATCACATGGGACATATATACGATTTGAATAGCAATAAGATAAATTGCTTATAACCGCGAGTTCTTCTATGATTATCATGTGGGAGTATCACGCCCAATAGTCGCTGGATGAGAACATTCTCGATCAAGCGCGTTCATTTTATCCCTAAGCTCCAAATTCTGTACAGCAGTACAATGTATGTCTACTGTGGTATATGGCAACCATTATGACGTAGACACTGGAACGATTACAGTGACGTGCACTGTACTAAACTAGCATATATCCGTGAATCAGAATAACTTTCGTATCTTTGCCCGGACAAGCGTACGTACAACTGGCGTTAAGAAATGAAAGAATGTACGCTATCCATGCAGTACGCGCCACCCACAAAGACCATATCAGATATACTTCTGTGCCATGAGCACGTGGCAACCGACGAGGGAATGCACTAATAATTACACACGGCAGAACGACTGTGTCGCTCTGTCTGATGAGTCTCGCATATGTCAAACCCAGAATGATTTTAAACGTAAACTGAGCCTGTAAAATATATTTGATTTGTCTATATGTAAATAGAAGATGAATCCCAAACTGAACAGTGAGAGTTCATTCTCTCAGCTTCGGGCCAATTGTTGAATGTTACAATTGAGTATGATATCGGGACACAAAAGTTGATTCATTATAAAAGTTAGCGAAACACCCGATGTTGTTAACGTGAAATAATCTTCATAATGTAATGTACAGATGATTTTACTCAAGAAAATACAGCATCAGCTACAGGGACCGGTTGGACGTTTTTTTTATGGTACAGCGCAAATGTCAAATTCGTAACATTTCAGTAATGATAGTGCCCCTCATACATAATATGGCCGACTAGCACGATAACACACGTAATTTCCTGTAGATCGTAAGTTTGAATTTGCCTTAGACTCAAATGGCTGCCGAGATCTCGTGAAGAGCGAGAAAGCCACGAGACTGGAGTTTTACCCCCCCCCCACCAATAGCGTTCTATTTGCTCACATTAGTGAGCGTTCCCTATTCCGGTTACCATGGCTACACACGACAGGGGAACAGTGAACGCGATAACTGGAGAAAATAAAACGTTATTTGAACTGCAAACAAATCTCGTGAACCTTTTGCAAGCCGTCTGTGTGTGATGTATATTATTACTACTTAAACTATTAACAACGTTTTGAGCGTGGATACATTCGTCAAATGTAATTACAGGATACAAAAAAAAAAAAACACTTGGCGTGTGCATGTGGTATTAAGAACATTTCCTACTAATGTACTTAGTGAAGCTGCGGAAAATACCATTAAAGCGCGATATAATGAATATGTAATTCTCTGATTTACAAGGTGTTTTACACAGTTATTTAATCAGTAAGCATGAAGCGAAAACTGCGTATGATGTGATATGCACTGCACGTAGTTCTCTTCCGTCATTACACCGATAGACTCAATATCATTAACTGCGGTGTAGACACAGAGGAATCACCCGCAGAACTGATCTCTGAATGCATGATGCGAGATACTGTGATTACACAATGGCGAAATGTGTCAATCCCTCGATACCCGTGTTACATGAATCTTTGCGAGGAGTAACCTCGAGCTCTTCAATACTCTGGAGCCAATCATACATATTCCGATTCTATATATGATATAATAGACATCATGCAGGGATACATCTTATATACGCAATACATTGTATATTCAATGGAATAAATTAATATCGCATATTTATTTGATTACATCTTACATTAATATTCAGGCATATACTTTAACACTCCGACTAGCACAAATAGTTCATATATATATATATAAATACGATGCAGGTCACAACGCAACTACGATTACTTATAACTAAGATTTCGGGGTTGTCAGTTTTAATTTGTTTAATGGAGTGTTTGCAAGGCTTATCTGGAAACACACTATCAGAACTTTTTGTGTTATCTTTATGGTATATCTACTTTGAATAAAAACGTTGTTGACTGACCACGTGTTATTGAACACGTGTTTAAGGTGTGTGTCTGTTTGCCACGAATATCATGTTGTATTGTTCAACTGGTAGGATGTTCAGAAAATAAAATTTAAAACATTCAGTTTAACGTATATGCCGACGGATTGAAATTTTAGCACCATATTCTTCGCACTGAGTGTGGTTAATTGTCGTGGTTAAAGAAATAGCGAAATTCACACCCCCCCACACACATTATTCGTCGCATGGGTTCCATGTCGAACACGACGCGTCGCCAAGACCGTGACGATTGCAATATATAAAGGTCACATGCAGACCTGTGAGCATTAAATATTAGAACAATTGCGCCGGAAATGACATGATAAATTCAATTCATCGGTTGTACGTGTTAGTGTATACGTTACGAACCACCAAAATTACATACAAAACACAACAATTCACAGACGATGGCGTTTTATATTTATTACCCTAATTTACGCACTGGAACCGTAGACCTAGACACGTATATAATTATACTTGCTCGCACTCAAATCCCAGCGTTAAACCTTCACCTAGTAATATGCGGTAAAGTGTGCACAAAGGCAGCCATACAAAGGCAACAAAAGCAGTGCTCAATCAGGAGTCATGGTCTGGTGGCTCGTTATGTTGACTGTATTCAGTATTTGATTTACAGGTACACAATAAACCAAGTGCTCTATTCTTAGTGTCGTATTTCTTCCCACACTCGTGAAAGCAGAGGGCAATCGGGTGACCTTTTTTGGAGCACTCCTACGCACATGATGGCTTATTTAAACTGGTCAACTTTTTTTCCGTACATCATGATTCACCAAACAGGCTTAAAGAATTTAACCAGTTGATACATTTTGAATACTTAGTACTTAAGTTGATTTCACCGGGTCGGTGGAGTTGAATGCATTCATCCAACCTTGCAGATTCATCTGTATTTTAGCGTCTCGACCCCTGACAACATTTACCCTAGCACGCCTTACATATTCACGTAGAGAAGACGAATTGCCTGATCCGTACTGATGAATGAACTACATAATATACGACGCCACGTCGGTTTACCCGATGAAACCTAATATTATATATAGAGACGACATTCCATAGTATGTCATGATACAACAATATTTAGTTGTTTAGGTCTTGCCAGTTGGAACTATTTTTTGGTTGACTCTTACCAATGGGTGTATGGTTTATCTAATTGTGGGCTACTTAAAACATAACTAACGAATAACGGGTAAACTGAAGCTATGTGTTTGAGTGTTTTATTTCCGGCAACCATATACATAACGCATCTCAATGACACTTCCAACCATAGGCGTGTTGTGTTTTTATGCCGTGTTACCTTTAAGAAGAAGATGTCACAAACTATTCCATCAGACACGGGGGTGTGTTCAGATGTGTTTATAAAGGCTTCAATGGCCACGGGATAAACAAGGCGACTTGCTGAGTGATTGGCTACTTGCCAAATACTCACTTGTTGACTACACGATGGCATATCGTATTGTGTAAGCATGGTAATAGCTGTCCTGAACAGTTCCCGAGGACGTTTGTCTCAATTTCACCTCTTTTCATACATGTATTTCATTGCTATAAAAACAAATATACATCTATTCGTATCCATTGACATGTTTCGCCGTGTAAGTTTACGTCAGTGCATCTCAACCTTTTTTACTCGGGGAAACATCTGACCGTAGCTTACTTAACCTTTCACTCATCACGAGCTCGATAGCAACTCAATGTGACCTGGTTACCGACTACTACTCGATCGATATAATCATCCCCCTACCTCTGTGGATGCTAGGGTATGCGAATAAACTCCGTGACGACTCAAAGGTTATTAGACGTACCATATCATGTGTAGTGCTAGCATTATTTTTCGTCGTTTGTGTTCTTCGAAAACCACTTCACGCCAAGTGAGTGCAGCCCTTTTATCGGATCTAACCTGGCTACCGCATAACGAGCAATCACACGGAATGGTTCTACGGGTGAGGCAGTGAAAGAAAACAAGTGCCAAAACAACTCCATTTTTCCGATCACTAGAGGGCGCACTTTTAATAGTTTATTTTTCATGAATAACATTCTCTCGCAAATAATTGATATTCCCCTAATTCACCTTGAATGGAAAGAAATTTCCCGTCTTTGCCGTAAAATGGGGAACTATTCAAAATGAAATCGAAACAAAACGCATTGGTTACAGCAAACAATTACTATATATTCACGGACCTTCTTCAGCGTTGTACGATGATTGGTTATATTTTATATCGATGCGAACGAGGACGAACAATTAAGCAATATGTGTTATATTATATATACATTATCTTATATACTTCAGTATTTTGATCTAAACATGTTTCAAATTGAATCCTACCATCTCTATTTTCATTTCTACTAGGAGGCAAAGATTCTTCAAATACGTATACAGGAAACACATGTATATCAACGAGTTGCGTTCATACAGGTAAATGTCACGTATATTTGTTATTTTAATCTATTCTTAAAATGTCATATATTATACAAGCTGCACTTCCCTATATCATATATATATATATATATATATATATATATATATATATATATATATATATATATATATATATATATATATATATATATATATATATATATGGTGTGAATTTGAAAACGAGAAATTTTTGATCTAATGTGTGTTTGTTTGTGTGTTCTCTTCTATATTAGCATCTTCCCTCATCAGTAAAATGGACACCAGCGTTGAGCCTTGTCAGGATTTTTTTCAATACGCCTGTGGGAAATGGACCAAGGACCATTACATACCCGAGGACCAATCAGTCTATGATATATTTACAGAAATGAGAGACAAAGTTGAGTTGATAAATAAGCGTAAGTTTGTAGTTCACGTAATCTCAAGTTGTTCTATCATCACGTACAAGCTGAGGGGGGGGTGAGGTAAACACAACGTTTGCGACCACTCTATGAATGTGTGATATACAATATAACTGCCATATCGGTTATTTTTGGATGATTCATTTAACAATTTTTGACGAATTATCAGTTTTATTTACAATTTACAAATTACACTTTGTGGTTTGTGAATTTAATTTTCAGGACTTTTAGAGGCAGAGACGAAGACCACTGAGCCTGAATTTATAACAAAGGCGAAACTATTCTATAACTCCTGTCTTGATGAAGGTACGCGATATAAAAATAGGTGACTTCTAAAGTAGTCAAATAAAATTGTGTCTAAGATTACATCGCATTGTAAAATCCATATCAATTGAGTTGTACAAAGGCGTCTGAAACGATACAATGTTCCGTGTATACGGCGCATGACCACGTGGCTAATAAAGCTGCTAATCAAATAAAAAATGGATTGCATATTGCCTGCAGTAGTCCATTTACCAAAAAACAAAACAAAATAATTATTCGTTGGCTGGATAAAAAAAAACACGTGTTAAATCTCTTCAACCCACAGAAACAATTAACAAACAAGGAGCTGTCCCATTACTCGAAATTATCTCAGACGTTGGAGGATGGCCTGTCATGGGAAACGGTGAATGGAATGAGGATAGTTGGGACTTGGTCACGACGCTTGGTAAACTACGCACGAACTACGAAACCAGGTCCTTCATCGATATGTGGATCTCCGCCGACGACAAAGATTCAGATACGAACATAATATACGTAAGAACACCAACAGCGTGGAACATTATTAGCATAAATTACGCATTTAATAATTTATACATGAAATTACATAACTCCCAATACCCGTTTCTGTTTTTTTTATTCTCGTGATTAATTATTGATTGATTAATTGAAAATGTTATTCCTGTGACAGGTAGATCAACCAGACCTCGGCATGCCAAGTAGAGATTATTTCTTAAAGAACAACACTGGCAAGGTGAGTTTCAGTGTCCTACCCGTAAAAGCAAACTCGCCACTACAAATGATTCTAGAACAACAGGTGAAAAATAATGCATTACTTGTTCCATTACAGTACGTGACCGCTTACTTGGACTATATGGTGCAGATTGCGACTAAACTTAGGCCCGATGGTGACGCGGCGGAGGCCAGGCGGCAAATGCAAGAGGTGCTAGCGTTTGAAACGAAGATTGCAGAAGTATGTATTATTTTTTTCGGCCAAACATGTGTTAATTGTTTCCATAATTTCTCTTATTTTTTTACCAATTTTGTTTCAAATGGGCATAATTTTATTTCTAGTATTCACGGAGATGAATCAAAATTGTTGAAAACCTATGTAAACAGTTGTGTAAGATGATATTGTGAAAAGTTTATTAAGAAGCTTTTTTTCATTCAGAAGGAGTATATTACGCATTGGCGGCGAGGATATATTAGACACTGTGATTTACATTGCTGTTCACGACATTAAATTTGAATTGACGCGACCTTTCTACGTGCTTCTCAATCCGGTGTATGTTGTGACGTTGTAGTGAAATTTAATTATTAGATTTGACTGTTGGGGAAGATTACGTTTGATCATTTTTTACCAAAAATCAAAATAACAGCTATACAGGGAACGTGCTTCGTGCATTTTTTCATTTCATCTAAGTTGTATTAGGGTTGAATATTGTTCCCAGCGTTTATGCATAAAAATATACAAATAAAAAATATATCCACAAACAGGTAGAGTTTTTCTAATTGAATGACGTTGCTCATACCAATCTATTTCGAAAGAGTTTAGCACCAGAGGGCGCGATAGGAAAAATGAATTAACACACTTGAAGTAAATCGTTAACACGCGAAGAGAACGATGCGGTCTACCCATGTGTGCCCCCAGTTGATTGAATGTGTCTACGTTAAATTGATTAATATATGTATTAACATTTTTAGTTTAGTGTACCAAAAGCAGAAAGACGAGACATGAAGACACTGTACAACAAAATGACGATCCGTGAGCTAAGCCAACTCGTACCACAGGTGAGAATCTATTGCAAAACAGAACAATGTGCTACTATGTTGTAGCGACGTATCCCCCTTAAAACATACCGGTAAGAAACAACTTAATCTAGTGTAGTTTGTCACGTCTGTGGCGCACCTATTCGTTTACTCTCAAAACCCGCACGTCCCATGCTGTTTCGTTAAACCACTGTATACACATTTCGACACGTACGTGAAGCGATAATTAATTTCTTCTAGTAATATAGTTAAGGGCAAAGTACCCAACTTTATTCACACGAATTCACAATATTCTCATTGGTAGTACTTGAATCGATCATCTGTAAGGCCCTTTGACTCCTTCAGTGTCTTGATATATTCTATTCCAATAAATAACATATAAATTAAACAAACATCTCACGAGTTCACTGTAGTGTCCTGACCCTGTACTAACCTCGATTTTGCTTTTAATGGTGGTAGTCGTCGCGCCTCGCATGTGTGAAATTTGTGTTGATAAACATGGCTTTTCTAATGAAATCACGGGTACGAGTTTTGCCCTTGGCGCCACTTGCACTAATTACCGCCAGCAACTCCTTCGATAATTTCCAAACATCAAAACAAAATATTTAATTAAAGCTTGGCAACTTCTCAGTTTGTACTAGTTGGTGTGCGCTACAGTCGTAGTCGCCATCTTTGTTTATGCGAGACTCATATCTCGCGCATGCGCGGCGTGACGACTACGGCCCTTTAACATTTATTCACACATATACTTGAGTGTGAGAGTAGTCACCTGCGCATGCGACTTACGGTCGTAGCGTGTCATTGTTAACAAATAAGCAAATACCCATGATCCTTTGCTTTTTGTGTGCGTTGTTATTGTCGTCCAGCACTCAATTCCCGCCAGCGAGCAATAACGACTCCATCCGCTTTAATTTTCAGTTTGACTGGTTGTTATTCCTGAATATGGCGACACCGGCGTCTGTATTGGATGAATATGAATACATCGTTAACTATTCACCGGCCTACCTCATTGCAGCTGGTCGTCTCATAGTATCAGAACCGAAAAGGTACGAATTGTGACAGAAAGTGTAAGTGACGGTCGAGATTTTGAGTGGCATATGTTAATTTATGCCTGGTATCCAAAATATAATTGTCAAATCCGAATGAAAATTAGGAAAATAAATATATACATCCCGCAGTACTCACAGAATCTCGAATATGATCGCGCGCGACTTTGGAACGTGTTTCCACTGCTTCCATTCAGCGCGCTGTACCATTGATGAATGCTGGAGGAGAGAAAATGTAATTAAGACAAAACAGGAATGGCAGTCATAATTTCTCCTCTATCCTGTCGGAATAACAATTTCTGCAAGCCATTTTCTAGCAACACACATACACAAAGTTTGAAAGTCACGTGACTGTCGCCGAAACGTACTACTAGTATACTGAAACAGTACTGAATACAGTGTACTAAAAAAAACGTAAATAAACGTTTGCTTTCACACTATAGAGTAATAGCCAATTACATGGTTTGGGACTTAGTGATGAAGAACATAGCGTATCTCAGTGAAGACTTCCGTATGATTAGGCAAAGCTTCCGCAAAGTCATCTACGGAGAGAAGCTTGAGCGGATTCGTTGGCGCCAGTGTGTCAGCCAGACCACCTACGGACTCGGCATGGCGGTAGGGGCTCTGTTTATCGAAGACAGCTTTGACGAAGAGAGCAAGGAAACGGTAAGTAACGGAGTTATTATTATAATTTCTAAGCTAACCGGGGAACTATATTTTTGCGAGACAAACATATTTGAAGATTCCATCTTTCTTCAGTCACATTTGTTCTGTAAAACTGTTATTGTTACCTCGTTCTTTGTTTTACTAAATACGTTCTCCATATATAGGCAACGTTGCGTACCAGCCGAGAACTTGAGATAATAGTAAGTACGTACTAGAAAGTGTTCCAAACTAAATCATTCTCTCAAACTTTATTTGCAGGCATTGGAGATGATCACTGATATCAGAGAATCATTCAGTACCATGCTGCAGAATTTGGATTGGATGGATGGTGAGACGAAGATTGTTGCTCAAGAAAAGGTGCAACCATTTTCTCTCTCTTTGTATCTGCACAGTAGAATCAGGTACACCGTTATGCAGGCCTCGTACCTAGCTATTTTGCGATCATGTTTGTGATATTTAGAGGGGTTATTAAAACATGTTCAGATATTTGTAAATATGTTTTTTTACCATTAGGCTGACGCAATTATTGAACGTATTGGTTACCCTGACTATTTGCTTAACAGGCAGATGATGAACGAACAGTACAGACCGGTAAGTAACAGCAGATTGCGTAAATGTCCACATACATAAGCGAGGGTGTCGTCACTTACGCATGCGTCAGGTGGCCATAGCGTGTCATTGTTTACAAACAAGCGTCTACCCATGAGCCTTTTCGTTCTTAGTATGTCATGTTATCATCGCTTGGAACTCAATTCCCGCGCATGCGCAGGTGACGACCCCCGCTTTAACATGTATCTAACATGCACGATTGAAAATCATAATGCGCATTACAAAACGTTAATTTGTGCAATCACAAATGAAAAAAGATAACCAGAGCAAAAAAAACAAAAACAAAAAAAAAACGTAATAAAAAATGGAAGTAGTTGTCTTCTGCAAATGCAAATATTCAGTTAGTGTTCAGGTTCACTGTATTATATTTGTAGCGGATATACCACCCACAACACGTGATTATTTTATATGCGCCAGAATTACATGGATGAGACCAAGAAAACAACAAAAACGTTCAAGTACCCTTGTTCTAAAATAATACGCACTAAAAATAAAAATTTGGTCAATAAAGAGACTTGTACTTAATTTCGTTTCTCTTAAAATATTTTTATTATCTTGCCACTAATTATAATTAACTTTGCCCTCACAGTAAAATTAAAACGCAGCTCTTTGTATAACATAACTCATACTGTAGGTTTACAGTCTTAGTCATTATTTGTTGACATTCGTTTTAGTTGTATAGCAGATCTTGGCTCACACTGTAAATTAAATCAGTGGTCAAATATGCATTTCATTGTATATATTCATTGAGTGTACTAGTATATTCGTTGAATAACATTAAATCGGATTTTACATGTACATCCCCGAGAATAATCAGGTGTAATCTTGTGAAATTAGAATCATAAAATTCAATATATATTGATGTTTTAATAATATTGTAATACTATTCGACAATGAATTAATAATCGACTAATGAGTTCCAACGATGATGACCGAGTTGATAGTTTAAAACATCTGCGTGAAACAATCTAATTTTAAATAACTTGATCAAATATGGAATATAAAATAGCTCGAGACAATTTAATTTGGACAATGCAATGTTCTTTACCACTTTATAAATGATTACCTTTTGCACATAAATATACTCTTTAAAATTATATGTGTCACGTACACAGTGTTCAAATATGCCGCCATATTGTATATACGGGGATCACATCGACCACCGCATTGCAACTGTTCTCCATATTAAATGTATTACCGATTACACGTCGTTCTTCGGCGTATGTAGATACACGACTCCCTTTCTAAACGCTCGCATCGAATCGGCCTCTTTAGACGCACATTTTAAATTAAAACGCGGTTATTATCTTATTGTTATATGTTTTAACTTACATACATTATTGTATTATCCTATTATTACAGGTTACCATACATCCTTCTGACTATTTTGGGAATATTTTAAATATCTATAAATGGCAAGCGTACGAGTCCTTGTCTACTCTCCGGTTACCAGTCGACAAACACGAGTAGGTATTCCATAGTACAAAATCTTCCCGTTATATGATTGGAACAGCATACATTGTAACCCTGAGTTTGGAATATCGTTGAGCAACGTAATGCCTGCAGTGACAGTAATGATATCCGACGTCCATTGGCAAAGGCCAGCTTTAGCTGCTGTGCTTCCTTGTACTTTCGTAAATTTATTCATTCCGCTATTCCACAGACGCATGAAGTGAGTTTCGCCCAGATACACGAGAACGGGTCCAACACGTAGTCATATCAATTATGTATAAGGGTCGCGAACCACATGGGTGCACATGGGACAGTGAGGAATACATGCTTCCCCTGAAAATACTCCTTATCTCAACAAATCTTTCAGTTCGTTATCTATCTTTATTCTTCAGTTCCAACAGGCCTGGAAAAGACTATGTGGGCGATCTCCTTTCAATGTGTGTCCCAGATACACTGCGTGATTAAAAATGACTTGTTTTATTTTTCATATTCAACCATCTATAATACGTCATACACAGTTGAGCTTAGACACCACATATATGTGCACTTGAGATCTCCTCGAATTGTTACAAAGATCTCAACAAGGAATAACGCTTGCTGGGATGGAATGTTGCTAAAGTCGTCCAGCTTAGGGATTTGAAATAAAATAAATTGTCTAGACGGTTTTAAAGAATAATTCTTATAGAGGCAATCCAGCCATCATTGCTTTGCTTCCTACCCGGCTATTGGTTCTCCGTCGCCACGTGCATATCATTATAAGAAGAAAACATACAACATACAACAACACTTACTGTTTGATGAAATGTGCGTTTACGAGTCGCCCACAAACATACCTACAGTAGAACAGAACAGAATAGGCGACGTAAACAAGCCTAGGACACGCATCGTTTTTACCTTCTTTCTTTAAGCAACTGCAATCATATACACGGCATCTATAGTCTGTCGAGAATACATCTACCTGTCATATTCAGTTTGGTATTGATATGTCACATAACAAGCTACATCTGTGTAACGCCGCCATCTAAATTGCCCGTTCTTTGACCACTCTATGTGGAGTTCACTTAAATTTGACTGAGCGCACTATACTTTGTTTGGTACACTTGAGAACACAGATTTTAATTCGCGACAGACTATTGCACAAAATGGCGGATTCCTTTTACCGGAAATGACGTACGCACCCTCGTTTTCAAAATTAACTATATTAACTTGTTAAACACATGTAACGGTCCAAATAAGGATTTAATTGGCGATAGGCAGTAATTAGATGTGTTCGGAATTTGTTAAATTATTATATGTTGTTATTCGCCAAAACTTTTTCAGCAAAACTCAATAAATATAGCGAACAAAAAATATAAATAAAACATGAGTATTAAGCTAATTAGTATACACATACACCGATTTGTTCTCTACAGATGGAAAACAACGCCCGCTACAGTCAATGCGTTTTATAATCCTTCCAGGAACGAGATAGGTAAGGTCACCGACCGTTACAGCTTTTTATTTATTTATTTACATGAATATTCACTGTTTCATTTAAAAACAATTATTGTATTGATTTTTGTTTATCGTTATCTGTTTTTTATCAATACAGTATTTCCGGCTGGTATATTGCAGCCTCCATTCTATAGCAGTAAGTTTCCAAAGTAAGTAACATTGTATAAGCGTTAGAATTTCGTGTAAACAAACAAACGCGGTCAATATCTCGCATGAGACGCATATTGACCCCGACTTTACTACACATTCACACTTATTTAATATTGACTTAACTTATAGTAATAAACAATGTTCATCTTTCGTTTTGTTACTTTTTTTAATTCTCGGCTTAAAGGTCAATGAATTATGGCGGAATTGGTATGGTCATCGGACATGAAATAACCCACGGTTTCGACGACAGAGGTGAGACATCATTGACTTTTGATCTTTGACTTTTCTTGACGATTCTGACAGCAGTAATTTACATATCATTTGCATATCCATTGTTGCTACATTGATTTTTAGGCATGGTCAAGAAATCCCCGTAAGCAATAATTTGAGGGTCAGTAAAAAAGTATTTGTATGAAATTAACATTTTGATCAACATTAGCCAGAGAAAAATCATACAACGTTCATTAATAATAAAACAAAATAATAAATTTGATATGATCAGTTTAAAAGAATACATACGAAAAAATATCAATCATTTTTATTTTATTTCACCTGGTTTTATTTATACCCTATTATAATTCTGTGACGCAGTACTAACACATCATGAATATTCAAGATATAATATTCAGGCGTACTGCTAGGAGTATGTCTCTATATATTACTTTGAAGTATCTTATGGAAGTGTCTTATGTTAGTGACGCCACCACAGTTGAAACAGTGAAATGTTCAGTCAATCAAATCGCTCCTTCTATCCGGTATTAGGGAATATAAATTATATTTCCATTTCCGTACGTGAGACGGATCTCGGGCACAGGATTGTAGACATAAGACAGTCGTAATTAGAGGTTATATCTTCACCTTGAAACTTGTTTTATTCTACTGCACTTTCGTGAATGGTGAAATGGAAATAGAATAGAATGGAAACAAGAAATGAATGAAATAGCAAATGATTGTTTACCCTGGACATGGATGTACTAGTACGTCCATGCCCGGGCCAAGTCACAAAGACATCATATTGGAACACAGGGAGCCCAGGAACTATGATCAACTGTACGGACTCCCTATGAGCGGGGGGGGGGGGGTATCGGCTGGTAACTAGTGTAAGAAATAGACAAGGGATGAAGGCTCCAGCGAGCTTATATTTTTTAAACTGAAAAACAGACGAACAGAATGAAAAATAAAATCTATAAAAAATACCAGGATGAAGAATATTAGTTGCTCTTTTAAATTTCGCCAAAGCATTGCCTGTATTTCACCTATATCTGCAGAATAAATCGAGAAAACTACACAAATTGACTCCATTTATGAACAATTCTAGTAACGGTTGGCCCGGACACACGCCACAGTTGGAAGCGTGGCCTGTTCAGCATTTGTCAACAACCAATCATAAGACTGGTTACCAGTCTTGTGATTGGTTCTTTGCCTCTAACTGTGCCGTACGTTCGGATTCGGACTCAATCAGATACGACGTCTAACACGCTTGTGAATGAACTTACCGTTCGCGCAGAAAGGGATTAACGGATACGACAATGGTACTGACATCATTTCCATCTATTTGCAGGACGTCAGTTCGACAAAGATGGTAACTGGCATCAGTGGTGGACCAACAGCTCAGTGGAAAACTTCAAGAAAAAAGCGCAATGCATTGTTGACCAGTATTCAAATTACTCTGTACCGGAAATCAACATGAACGTGAGTTTCATGGTTAAGTTTTACATATTCGCAACAATTTCTAACTGAAAATACATTTTTTGTATTTTTTTTTCATCGGTAGATTTATTTGAACTTGAAAAATACAGTTGTCAATGAAGACCCTCAATACATCAACATATTGATATTGTAATTTCCTACACACAAATTGTCTCTACGATCTCGTTGAGTGCGAAACAACAACGGGACTAGTATTTGTCCTGAAAATAAATTCTTTTGTGTAATCACGTCCAATGTTCCAAAAACACATAGTTACATAGGCCAGGGTAACAATGGAGGCGATGACGTCACGTGAGAGAATGGAACACTAGTTGAGAGTCAAGAACAAGTCTTGTGAGTCTAGCGTTCTCGTTCTCATTTTCCCTAGCGTATATATGTTTTTTTTTTTGTAGGTGAATGGAATTCAGACACAAGGTGAAAATATTGCTGATAATGGAGGTATCAAGGAAGCGTTTTTGGTAAGAGTATTTTTAATGCGATGAACAAATTTCTGTCGAGTTATAGTTTGTATATTAGGTTTGTGCATTTTGGATAGGATGTGAACTAAATACGCTAATAACGGATATGAGGCAAGCAAAAACGTGATCGCCTACACATGCGTTGCAAAAATCAACCATGCTTTTTATTGGCACTTTAAAAATACGCCATCTTCGGCAAAAAATATAACTGTGCCTTAAACATCGCTGTTGTACTACAATTTACTATTGTGATCAGTAAAACAAAAATTTCCCCAATTTATAAGGTTTCCGTTAATTTTCACAAATAATTAAAAAAAAAAAACGCGATTCCATGATTCACATTTCATATTTTTTCTTGCGTGTTTATGTAGGCATACAGGAAGTGGGTAGAACGAAACGGCAAAGAAGAGGACCCCTTACCTGGCATTGATTTGACGCACAACCAACTGTTCTTCGTTAATTTTGGACAGGTACCGTACTAACGCCCTCAACCGACCACACATATTATTATCATTACGTTCGTTTTATGTGACGGACGAGACCTTTACGACAGACGTGATTAACACGTCATGAGCAATTCTCTCAAATCTACACTGAAATGAAACACGATTTTATTAAATATACTTTTTCGTAAATATTTTCCTTAAAATAGACATAATTCCATTCCTAATATTATATCAGTTTCATGTATTTTTGAGAAAGTATCACTCAATACCTTATAACATAAATATTATTTTTCATTTATTTTAATAAGAAACATTAAATCCTAAATGATGACATATTCAGGGAAGCTGTTTATTCACACAGCCCCAACAAAACGTAAACCAACATCTAAGATGGCGTCGCCTGGAAAATCCTTCTCTAGGTTTCACAAAAATTAAAAAAAAATTATGAACTATCATATGGCCAAAAATACCGTCCAACTTTATATTGTTTTTTATAAACTTTGCCACCCTGAGTTGTGTGACTATATTAATAACTTACATGTTTTCCCAGCTGTGTAATATACGTAAGTAAATTGAATCAAATTGGACGTTAATGTTTTTTTTTTCTTCGTGAACTGCTATTTCACTCCCCCAGCTCTGGTGCGGCCTTGCCACAAATGATTACATGGTCAATTTTGTGTCCTCAGCTTGGCATAGTCCACGATTGTTCAGGTAATGTGGAGCAGATGGACGCAAACAAATGTAACTGACATTGCACTAATTGATAGAAGCGCACTCGTTCGAAGACCGAGCTTGTATCCTCGGACGAGGGTGGCTGCGTCATTTCCGGCAACCGTAAAAACCGCCATTTTGTTTTTCAACCCATGCATTCCTAAATACGATATGGTTCAATTGTTGAAGTGGTTTTACGGTGCCTGCAATGACATATAAATGCGAATATTTTGTTTAAATTAATGCTTATTACATTTTCTTTTCTTTTCTATGTTTGTTGTTATACCAATGTGTCGTGTTGTTGCTTGATTGTATCCCCGCTTGTTCGCATCACCCATAAACCACCTTCCTTTGCGGTAATGCTTGTTTATGCATTTTTTTGACACCACTTATGGAACTTATAGATTCTCTGCAAAATATACCGTGCGGACGCTTTGAGGTTTTTCATCACATCAACTCCTCACAGTCCATCACCATACAGGTACTGATTACTGACCACAGTCTGACACCACTTTATTATTATAATAGTAATAAGTTTGCTCCTAGGTGATATTTTGCAGAGCTGAAGATATACTGTAAAACTTGTTCAGTCTGAAAACAACCAGCATTATAAAGTAACCGTTGCTAATGCTCGACGATACATGTTTTTTCTTATGGTTAGGCTCTAACTCTCACATATCTGAAGTGAAATTTGTATACAAGGCCGTTAATATCTTCCGATCTGCATACTGTCACTGTATTTCTAATTGTATATAGGCACTTAATATTTAACAAGTAATGTTCATTGCTTTGTGCATTGTGCTGCGCATTATCATGATAACCTTTCTTGACAACCTTTCTCGACGATTCTGCTTGAAACTATTAGTATTTCTTCAGTTTTTAAACAAATTAGATGATGCTTTAGGTGATATATAATTGATTTTAGTATGACGTGAGCTACTGAACGTGGCAAAAAAACTTTGATATTATTGTAGTCAGTGGAGTAAGGTAGTCGATGTATTGTGTCAAGTGATATCGTACGATGAATAGGGATTATATTTTGTTTGATATCTTACTTTGATTATTTTATTGAAATTTGTTCATAACTATGGCTATGACAAGAGACCAGTACTGTTTGCGATAACAAACAAACAAAGCAAAAAAGAAATAAAATGCATAAACCTAGCTTTATTTTTATATAGTAACAGAGCACTTTTTCATTGTCTTTTCGTGTGTAGGGTGTTCGGACCAGTGTCAAACTCACCAGAGTTCGCAGAAGCCTTCGGATGTCGGAAAAACACACCGATGAACCCAGAAAAGAAGTGTTCTGTTTGGTAAAAAAAAAAACACATAAAAAAGAAAATAACAACAACAAAAAACAGAAGGTGAACTATTGAACTCATCTAGGGCTAATGTTGAAACTGTTTATATATTTAGTTATATATATATAAGTTGATATTTCTTTCATTACCAACCATACCAAAAGGTCAGGTGGCTAAGCGCCCTCATATGCGTGAAGAAATTTGTAATAAGTATGCATAATCATAATCACGTGACCTTCACAGGACTGGCTCATATAGGCTGTATACAATTGAATAAATCATTTACAAATTGGACTGCGCTTAAAATAATGACATATTCAGAGTCGAAGTTCTTTTAAATATATGTTTTTTTTATTGAAAGAGTAATTTAGACACCGTAACCATTGCGTGAATGCCGCGCACTGGATGTAGAAATACGCGAGGCCAGTTTTCCGTGTCCACCTAATCCCCAGCTAGCATTCCATGAACGATATTAAAATTGAGACGGGTTTAACATAAACATTTTTTTATATTAATTGTAAAACACGCCATCTTTTCATATTGTTATTATTAGAAACATCTTGGATATTATTGTGATTTATTGTGAAGAATGTGAACTTATATTTGTACAGACACATCAGTTTTGTTTTCTTTTAAATTTGGAAGCCGCTACGGGAAGTTTGGTGTTATAAAAACCACTCGAGTTGAATAGAGAGTGTAAGACAAGGGAATAAGCCCGACTGTAAGCGTGCAACATTGAAACTAATATATTGTCGGATATTGCCCGATTGTATAAAGCTTGTGTCGAGAAATGCAGTCAATGCCGAATTTAATTTTTTTAATGTTTATAATATATTTGTGGCGTCCTTATATTGTACAAAAAATACTTATTACTTTAATATAAAAACAAACGACGCACAGAAGCGAACGTTGAGGTCAGCAAACCACTGAATTGTCACTAATAATCGCAGAAGCAACAATCAAAGAAAAATTATTTCAATTTAAAAAAAAATGCATGAAGAATACATTATTCGTTTCAGTTTGTTTTATTGCAAAATGGCAGGGACTAGCTTCTGATTTATGTTTTCTCTGCGTTCGTGAATCTTTTGTAATCGAAACCTTATAATCAAAATTATAACGCATGTGAACGAGTGTTATTTTACTCTGGCAGTCTTGATTTAATTGAACCAATTACCTACCTTACCGGAAGTGACGTCATATACTATTTATTGATGTCGCACGAATACATCTTCAGGCAAAATTATACATGTAATAATTAATTATATTCAAAACGTATTATATCAAAGATTGGGACATATTATATTATTATATCATAGTATTTGTTTGTAACTGTCGGCTAGATATTACTTAGACTGCGCATGTACATCGGCAGCTTGTTACATTATTGTCTTACGAAGAGATAAAAACAGTTATTATGTATATTTATCATACCGTCTTTTTTGTCATATATAAAGATTGTTTTATTAGCAAAATTTGACATAATGTTGAGCCCGTGCAACTAACGACATGTGTGTGCTCTATCGGGCCCCTGGTAGAAGAAGACAAGGCATATCTTCTGATGCGGAAGTGACGTGTTACTGGGTGACCACTAATATGCGCATAGAACGGTATTTGATATCTCCGTAGACAGTAGAGGATATTAAAAAAAAACATACTTACAGTATAATTACCCCTTTCACCGCCAACATGTTGTTTCCATTTTTTCTGTAAATTCACGCCTAATAATATTACTTTTTATCAAGCTTGATAGCATCTGATATTATTGACTTATTTGAGGGAAATGTTGATAATTTTTCGTAACAGTGTTCGTAGATATAATTCAATATCGAACTATTTTGGCGGAAGGTTACAGAGGCGGATTCATCAGATGCGGTGAAAGGGGTTAAAGACATTTGAACATTGTGAATATTGTATTTGTAAAATAAAATATACATTGTTCATTTAATTGTAGAATAATCGTGTTGTATGTCACTAGCGGTGAATTGTGAACGGCATTAGAAATCTTTCCTCCTTTTGGGAAAACGTGATTTCCTTTACACAGATTTTAACAAAGAAATGACGAAAAGTACTGGGAATTTATAGAGGCAGTTGAAAACCGCCATAACTGGAATAGTTTTATGCTCATTCGCCGATTCACACCACAGCAAAGAAACGTAAAATCCAGTATCTTCTACTGTAAAGGCCTAACAAATAAAAGTTTCTATTCAGCGTAAGAGCCATTGTAGAGCGCCCTCTGTTGTCCAAGTGTTGAAAACCGATAGAAATGTGTGTGTGTTAAAATTTAAAATCGCCTAACCGGACATTTTAAAAAAAATAGCCCTTACGTGGCGAAATGGCAGCCACACGTGTATTTTATCCATCGGGACATTATTTATGCATAATTTGTAATCACAATTCAGTGTGTTCTAAACACAGAATTCATAACATACTTTCCCCATAGTGATATGTTCGTTGTAATTTCTTGGTGCGTGAGATAAATAATAGTGTCATTTATCATGTTGAATATTGCCGCCAAATCCTTCGTAGTTTTACAAACGTGTTTGTATTTGTAGTTTTATGTGACAAATATTGTTTCACGTATCCAATTATTATGCAGATTTCAGCCAATGGGACTCGTTTATTACCGTGGTCACGTGGATGACCACATGGGAGTCGTCACTTGGATTGTGTTGTTGTTGAATATACAATTATGCATACCAACACGAACGTGAAATAGTACTTGGAAGCTATTAACTGGGACACATATTTCTGATTTAGGCTAGTCAAACGAGCGGTAATTTGCTGACTTGGTTGGAGAGAAATTGGTCAATAAAAGTGTTAACCGAGGAAACTCACTTGACGCAACTAAACACGTGATATCCTCTCATGTTTTCAAGCTCCTATCAGACAATAATTGCACCAACTCGCTTAAATACATAATTTAATAATCAATGAAAAAATAAACACGCCAGAATACAATTAAAACCCAAAACTTCCGATGGATCATCAAAGGAAGACCCCCGTGTCAACACAGGAGATCGGTACATAGTAAGCTTACTCGCAGAGATACGTATATGTATAAACTAGTATTCTCTATATATATTACTTTGATGGATGTGATACCGAACATTGTGTCGACATTTTTCTCAGTTCAATGAACTTTCCATATTTACACATGACTTGCCGTGGGCACAATGAACGTGTTTTCAATTAAGACAGCGTGAGAGATTACGCGTTTTTTTGTTACTGATTCTAATCATCAGTCTCCTCCAAATTAGATTGGAATTCAGAAAACTCTACGCATGCGCAATTCAAAGTACGTCATTTTGCTTTCGGTAAGAGGTAAAATAGTACACACACTGGTTCATCACCCGTGCAGTTGCACTACTATGTGTCGGCTGTTTACTACTCGATATGTCGAAAAAAAAAACCTGTCAACAAACAAGCTTTTCTCTGATTGGTCTGACTGTTAGATGTTAGGATTGGGTAGCCAATCAGGTACAATCTTGCAAGTGGCTTTGCATCGACTCAGATGTTTATGTCCGATTGTGTTACGTGTTTTATATATCAATGTACTGAGGTTAAATTTTGTCCACGTTGACACGCCCCCCCCCATCATTCTTCCAGCAAAAATTGTTTACGCGAGAGGAACAGCATTTGAAATTTTATTTAGTCACTGTCACCTGACAAATTCACCTTATGCAGTTTTGTCAACAATATACGTTTGCAATTTGTCAAATGAAACGTGACTAGAATATTAATTATGCAATATTTACAACTGTGCATATCTGTATGTGCCCGCTATTGTGCACTCGGCTTACAATATGTTAACATTGACAGAATGTTTTTTGCTGGAAGCATTGTATTTATTGAATGTTTATAACAAGCTTTAAGGTGTCCATTATTCGCAAATGTTGATTTGAGAGGAAAAGATCAGTAAACAATGTGCGCCGCATTGCAAAGGTGGGTTTCTACTAGAGAACGACACACTGCAAAACATTTACTATTTGATTCTGGCACATGTCGTGAACTGATAGTCACGCCCTCTAGTGGTGGAGAGCTTCTGTGACGTTACAATGACGATTATATGCGTAAATACAAGAACGTCGTTGATATCGAAAATTATGTTTGGTTGTGTAGCTGTCTGTTATCTAGAATATAATAAACTCTCTCAAAAACACAATCTTCATTATTGGATGACTACAGATCGACAACGAACCGCTTTGAACAGTTTTCGTCGCTAGAGGGCGTGACGTATATATAATGGTAATTCTATTACAAACGTAGCTTTCAGAAGGGGACCAATGTCAATTGCCTGATGTAGACATTAATTTTCATTTCGGACTGTTACAGATC